TAAATCAGAGTCACTGCAGGACCCTGCGAACATTGATTCGCTAGATTCTACAGTAATCCTGACTTATTATAGTCTTAGACTTATTATACTTATTATATAGTCTGATAATCCGCTGGGTCGATAAGATTAATAATGACATCTCGTAACAGACGTTGCAGCCGTACAAAGGCGACGATAATAATGATGACGTTTCTTAAAGTAAAAATTTCCAAATCGGACTTTGCGTAACATTATCTCTTGTAGGGCACATAGCAGAAAAATAAAAATACTTTTATTATGCAAGTCGGACTCAAGCTATCGATCAAACCTACTTAGAACTACTTGATCATTTAGCCGTTATTGAGATTCGATAATTTCGGATGTTCGCATCTCGCCGACTCGCGTAAAGTCACACGGTAGTTCTCGGTTGACTTGACACCCGAGACACTACTGTGTCTCCTGATTTGATTGTAAATGTCAACAAGTATAATTCCATGCATGCGGGATGCATCGAACTACCACGAGAAATTAAGATGAAGAGACGATTACTGTGCAATTTATGGACAATGCATGTTTCGCGTGGTCAGTGATGGCCGCTCTACATCCTATAAAAACAAATACAGATCGAGTATCCTCGTATTCTCCATACTCAACGGTGTTGAATCTTAAAGACATTAAGTTCCCAATGACTTTAAACCAAATAAAAAAGAGAACCTCAACGACATCTCAGTCAACGTATATTATATCGAGAAGGAGAAGAAACTCTTGATTCTTTTGATAGGCTCACTGACCGAAAGATGGACAAGCATGTAAATTTGTTATATTTGCAGGACGATGACAATGAGGGGCATTTCGTGTGGATAAAAATCTGTCTCGCCTCGTGAGCTCTCAACTCAGCAAAAAAGAGCATAAGAAATTCTTTTGCGATCGATATGTATACATTTTCAAACATAATGAAATGAATTTCTTTTTTCATAAGGATAATAAATTAAATTAAATTATAATTAATTTTTTTCTTTTTGCAGATGTTTGCACTACTTCAATTCAAATGAAAAGTTAAAGACTCACATTGTAAATTATCGAGATCTTAACGAGTGTGCTATCACCGAGCGTGTTACCGAGCGACGATGACAAGTGGCTAAATTTCAAAAATTACTATAGGAAGAAACGATTGCGAAGAAGTGCGATTTATTGTTTAGGCCGACCTGGAATGCATCTTAGAGAAGAAGGAGAAGGAGGAGGAGGATTCGAGAAAGACGAGAAAGACGAAAGACGATATTACATATATCAGCATCATCATGTGTTTAGTATAGGATATTACATACACTGTTCGTACGAATCGTTATCAGTGTATCGATTTCATCGTGATAAGTATTGCATTGCATGGTTTACCGAGGAGCTTAGAGGTTTAGCTTAGAGGTTTATAATGTAAAATTTATCTTGTTCGCTAATGTATCTATGGCAGATTTCACGCAAAACGACTGGAAAAAGTTTAATAGCGCCATGCATTGTCACATATGCGAAAAACCGTTTGCGCTAAGCGACACGCGAATATGCGATCATTGTTATTTAACCGGTCAATTCAGAGATCTCGCGCATTTAAATTGTAATTTAAATTACAAAGATTTGGATTGCATTCTAATAGTTTTCCATAATTTATCCGGCATATTTTATCATTAAAAAAATAGCTATAGCGTATGAAGAAGGTGTAGACCTACTTCCAATAACCAAAAAAAAATACATTTCTTTTACAAAAAATGTTAAAAGCATTGAAGATGATCGAAAAAATTGCATAAAATAGCGATTTATTGACTCGTATAAATTTCTCAGTAATAGTCTTGACAAATTGGCAAAGATAAGTTTAGCGGATAATGCAGTGCGAATATTGTAATTTATCTGCAGAAAATGTTAATTTATTGACACGCCATTGAAAAGGCGTCTTTCTATACGAATACATTGACTGTGTCAAAAAGTTGGAGGAGATCGAGTTATCGTCGCAAGAATCATTCTACAGTTCGTTAACGGGCGTCACCGCATCCGAAAGCGATTACGCGCACGTTGTCAACATATGACAACAATTCTCCAGCCGGACGCTTGATGACTATAGCAACCTGTATCTTAAAACTGACGTTTTGTTGTTGGCCGATATTTTTGATTTGAATTTTCGCGATAGTTGCATCGCGAGTTATGGACTCGATCCCGCGTACTATCAGGAGACATGGTCTCGGGTGTCAAGTCAACCAAACACTACCGTGTGACTTTACGCGAGTCGGCGAGATGCGAGCATCTGAAATTATCGGATCTGAATAACGGCTAAATCGATCAAGTTTTAAGTAGGCTTGATCGATAGCTTGAGTTTGACTTGCATAATAAAAGTATTTTTATTTTTCTGCTACGTGCCCCATAAGCGGAGATATTGCTACGCAAAATCCGATTTGGAAATTTTTATTTTTAAGAAACGTCGTCATTATTGTCATCGTCACCCGGTTCTCATCTACGATTGCAATTTCTGTCACGGAGGCGTCACTGTCCAATGTACACGCGCGGAAATGGTGTCTGTGCGCTCGGCGCGCGGCCGCTACACACGAAGAGCATACGTCCGCGAGCGCGAAGGAGATCGCGGAGCGGAGGGAAAAAATAGTAGGGGCAATTCGATGTTGCATCTTTAACGCGAGACGCACGATCAAGAGAGAAAGCATAATCGAACGTGATATCGATTTCGGTGCCCCTTTGCTGTCTCACACATGCTCGATGCTAGTGCGAGTGAAAGACCGCGGTGTTTCTATACGTTGCGTTTTTCTTTCTTGCCCTCTTGTTCTGATTAATTATTAATTATTCAATGATTATTTATTTATTTAATTGATTATTTAAATATGATTATTAATTATTTAATTATCGCGTAATAATTCTTTTGTTATATATTTTAAAAAAGGTTACGTGTAAAATTACAACTATCATTGCTGTTTTGGGCATTGCATGTCTTATAATTATCTCTAGCAGATATTAAAAATTATTTTAAAAAATAATGAATTCGCGAAACTGTATTCAAAAATAAGAAAGATTATATTCAATAATAATAAAAAGTTATTATTAATAAGTAAATAAAATTGTGAAAATCAAAATAAGTATTTTTGAAATGAATATTATGTTGTAAATTTAAAATTTAAATTTGCAATAATGTAATCATATAAAGTATTATTTCTATACATAAAAATATTATTTCACGTTATATTATATCGTATCATTTCTATATATTTACATTTAATTATAAATCTTATAACACAAGAAGTTTACTTGCACATTGCAAATTTAAAAAATGCGCATAAAACTGTTACATGGGTCTCCAAATTATCTGTAACGATAGTTGTAATTTTATACGTAACTTCTTTTTAAAATGTATAATAGAAGAATTACTACGCAATCATAATTAAATAATCAATTAAATTAATAATTAAATTAATTATTGATTATTTAATTATGATTGCGTAATAATTCTTCTATTCATTTCATTAAAAAGTTATGTGTAAAATTACAACTATATATAATCACACAGAAAAAATTACTTAAATTATTTCTTGTATACAATTACTAAAATATCATCCATTTAACACACAAAATTTATTAAATTAATTTTTTATTACAGGTTTTAACAGCTATACATTTTATTAGTTTTTGTAACTTGTATAAAATATTAATATGGTTAATACTACAAAATATCTGATATCACTATAAAATTACCTTTTTACAAAGGTAAAAAAAGGTCAAGTATAGTAAAATCCTATTTAAATCTAAGTGTTATATCACAATTTTATTAAATTCAAATAGTATCTAATATTTAACCCTAATGTGTATATCATTTATATAAAAGATTTGATATTAAAAATGTGGCGCCAAGTTAGTCTTATTATCTCGAAATTTAAATGTACAATTGCTTTTAAAAAAATGTAAATTAATCAATGATTCGTATCTTTGTATTCCCATTAAAATCTTTTTATTCTAAAATCTAAGTGATAGTAGCTTTAATTCTTTTTAAAAAATAATGATATCATAAAATTGCATTTAACTTAATTAATATGTACATCATCTATGTAAAAGATTTGATATAAAAAAAGTGGCGTCAAGTTATAATCCCATTACTTCGAAAATTAAATATAGAATTGCTTTTAAAAAATGTAAATCAATCAATGATTCGTATCTTTGTATTCTCATTGAAGTCTTCTTATTCTAAAACCCAAATGATAATAGCTTTAATTTTTTTCAAAATGATATCATAAAATTGCGTTTAACCTAATTTAACTTAAATGATATGTGTTGTGACGGAAGAGCGGCTAAAATCATATCACAAGACGCCGCCTCAGACGTATCTCAAAAAGACACATGTCGCGGCTCTCTTTGTATTCTTGCCCTTGTTTATATCGTCGAGCCTACGTTTCGCGGCTCGAAGAACTTCGCGACAAGGACAGAACGCCGCCACAGGATCGGGCTGTGATTGGCTGGATTGCAGCTCCCGATTTTGTTATATATATAAGCTCGCATCTGAATACGGGCAGATCGAGTTTGACGAGCGTAGTACACGGATCCGTGCGATAAGAGATAGCAAGCGAGGCCGAGTTCTCATTCAGTTCTGCGCTACGCGAGGCCGAATCCTCGATCCTTAACGTGTGAGAATAATATATTCAAAAATAGTATTCGGGGTAACCTCCCGTCTACATCGTGCCTGCAACGATTTGAGGGCGCGACATTTTGGTGCCTCCTGTGAGGTCGTGCAAGACGCGGCCATCGGCGATTGCCACGAGCGAGCATCTACGGCAAGTCAACTTGAGACAATTGAGAATCTGCTTGGACGATTACGGCTTCAGGCTCGGCGAGTAATACAACTACGTCTGCGGCGGGACGAGATCGCAAACGACGGGATTTGCTCGACGGGACGAGTGAGCGGATTAACGGCAAGTAGAACTTTTGAGTATATTTGGTGGCCGATCGAACAATTCCTTTCATCCTAATCCCTCTCCAAATACATCATGACGGATAGAGTTAAACTTCTTATCCAAAAACGTACTTCTTTAAAGGCTCAAATTACCAATTTAACGAATATCGTGGAAAGGGGTAAACATGATAGAGTCACATTGAAAATGCGAATGGATCGTGTCACGAGTCTTTATCACGCGTACGAGGAATTTAACGACGAGCTTACAGTGTTAAATCCAGACGATAATCATAGAGACGAATTTAATAATGTGCAAGAGAAATTTTATTCCCTCGCGGGAAAGGTCGAAGATATAATTAATCCCAATATGGCTGCCGCGAGTGCTAGTACTTCGAGCGTCGCAACAATCTCCAGCGATTCCGGGACGATGGTCGTTGCGAAGCGGCAGATAAATCTGCCGATAGCGTCTTTGCCTTGTTTTGAGTGCCGCTACGAGAACTGGCTGTCATTCAAAAATTTATTTCTCGCTATGATAGATACCCGTACAGACTTAAGCGATGTAGAAAAACTTCAATATTTAAAATCGACATTAATCGGCGACGCAACTAACAAATTAAAAATTCTATCGATTGAAGGATCGAATTATAGTAAGGCCTGGGAGCTGTTAAAGCGTGCTTACGAAGTAAAACGAATTTTGATATCGCGTCATCTTTCCTTGTTGATAAATTTACCTGCATTGGAAAGGGAAACCACCGACGGCTTGTCGAAGTTAGCTGATGACGCGCAGCAACACGTGGCATCCTTGAACGCGTTAGGCGTCGTCGTAAATTCTGAGATATTAGTAAATTTGATAGAAGACAAATTACCGAAATTTACCGCCGAAAAATGGGAGGAAACTCTCGATCGCGACGAGTTTCCAAGGATAGACGATTTATATGAATTTCTATACCGTACTGCAGTCCGAGTATCTAAACGATCGCGAATAGAAGATCATAAACGAGACGACAACAAGTATCTCCCTCCTGCCAAAAGGGGGCGAATTCTTAATAAGGTTTTGTTGGTGAACGCGACAAATAATTGCGTAGCATGTAGGAATAAAAAACATCCATTATTCCAATGTGACAAGTTCAAACAACTAGACGTGTCCAAACGCGTGGAAGTCGTGAAGCGTGCGAAATTGTGTTATAATTGCCTACGTTCCCATCAAGGGAAATTCTGTAATTATAGCAATTGCACTATATGCCAAAGAAGACACAACACTCTTTTACATTTCGACAAACGACCGACAATATCAACAGTCACCGAAACAGGGGACGCTGGAATAGTGAAAAGCGAATGATTGAAAGGCGACGGACGCGCCGGCGCGCGACACTCCGCAGAGACGTTACCAATACACGAGCCGCAATTAATGACAACCACAATGATATTTGTGAGAGATCGCGAAGGCAAATTAATTAAATGTCGAGCATTATTAGATACTTGTGCTACCATTAATTTTATTTCTGAAAACTTTGCAAAACGTTTAGAGCTTCCTATCGTTTCATGCACATTATCGATCGACGCGATTAATTCGATGGGTACAGTATCGAAAGGACTTGTTCAAATTATTATCCAATCTGTATATAACGAGTTTAGCAAGCCCTTGACATGTTTATTGATTCCAACAATCGCAGATTCGATTCTGTCGGAAATGTTTCCGCGAGATTCCATCAAAATCCCATCTAATGTCCAATTAGCAGACCCAGAATTTCATTTGCCGCGTCCGGTTGATGTATTAATAGGGGCAGGATCAACGCTGTCGATGTTTTCGATCGGGCAGATCGATTTGTCCCGAGAGGGTCATGATCTCTATTTACAAAAAACGCGACTTGGTTGGGTTGTCACAGGCGGAGTACCAACGCGAAAGGGTTTAAGGGGCGCGTCATGTCGATTGACTAACTTAGATCAACAAATTGCCAATTTCTGGACAATCGAAGAAATGAACGCGGACGTGTCGAAATCTGCTGAGGATGCTGAATGCGAAGCACATTTCGTAGAGAATACCGAGCGCGATGAAAACGGCCGCTATGTGGTACGGTTACCTTTTCGGAAGGGCGACAAACGACTCGGCGATTCGCGAAACACGGCTCTCAGACGTTTGCAAGCTCTCGAGCGGAAATTCGAATCAGATCCGACATTAAAAATTACTTATTCGCATGTTATACAAGAATATTTAGATTTAAATCAGATGTCTTTGGTCGATGATCCATTAGAGGACGGGTTTTATATGCCGCATCACGCAATAGTAAAACCTTCGAGCAACACAACAAAGGTCCGCGTAGTATTCGACGCGTCGGCTAAAACGAGTACCGGCTCGTCATTGAATGATATATTAATGGTAGGGCCTACTATTCAGGAACCGTTATTTGCGCATCTAGTGCGATTCCATATGTATAGATACGTCCTCACCGCCGATATCGAAAAAATGTACAGATAAATTTTATTACATGAAGAAGATCGTGTATATCAACGCATACTTTGGCGTCAAGACGATCAAATTAAGACCTTTCAACTGAACACTCTAACGTTCGTTAGCGTTTCTTCAGCGCCATATCTTGCCACACGAACAATTAAAAAACTCGCGATCGACGAGGGCTATGCGTATCCTCGAGCTGCAAGAGTTCTTGAAAAACACTTATACGTGGACGATTTACTGACCGGCGTTGATACGATATCTGAGGCGCTCACGTTGCGCGACGACATAACTACCTTATTAGCGCGAGGCGGTTTTAATATACGTCAATGGGCTTCGAACGATAAACAATAAACGATTATCGAAGATTTACCACCCGAAGCAATAAACCCAAAGTTTATATTAGATAAAGATGGCCCGTTGCATACCTTAGGTTTGTCCTGGTACGCATCCAATGACATGCTGCGTTATTCCGTACATTCCGTTGAACACAGCAAAGGAGTCACGAAACGTCACATTCTTTCAGAAATAGCAAAGATCCATTAGGTCTCCTCGGTCCAATCATTCTACATGCGAAGAAATTAATGCAAACCCTATGGCAATGCAAATTAGAGTGGGACGAATCTGTTCCTTCTAGCATATATACCGCGTGGATAGAATTAACAACTCAGATGGGTTCAATTCGGATCCTGTCTATTGATCGTCAAGTATTAATCGCAGACCACACCAATGTTCAAATCCACGGATTCTGTGACGCAAGTAATAGTGGTTACGGCGCCTGTCTATATATCCGTTCGACTGATCGATATAATAATGCATGTTGTAAATTATTATGTGCGAAATCTCGCGTCGCGCCATTGAAATCCATAACCATACCTCGTCTTGAATTATCCGGAGCGCTTTTGCTGGCCAAACTCTATCACGAAGTACGTCAAGCAATGGAATTCTCCCCGGTTAAGACTGTATTATGGTGCGACTCCACTATCGCGTTGCATTGGCTAAAGACCTCGCCGCATTCTTTAAAAACGTACATATCGCGTAGCCCGGATTCAAGAGATCACCAATCCAAAGGTTTGGCGACACGTTAATTCCGAAGACAATCCAGCCGACGCGCTATCAAGGGGTCAGCTACCCAGCATTCTTGAAAAACCAATCGTGGTTCTCTGGTCCTTCATGGTTGGCGATGTCCGAGGACAGGTGGCCCAACAGGGTCATGGTCTTGGACGAGATACCGGAGGTAAAAAAGGGCATCTGCTTAATAACGGCGAATTGTGATTGTAGTATCTTTAAAAAATATTCATCATATTCTAAACTATTACGAGTAATAGCGTTTTGTTTACGGATGAGACCGAAAAATGCATATCGCGGGCCTCTGTGTATTAAGGAAATAGACGAAGCGGAAACAAAGATAATAACTATCATACAAGCGGATTGTTCTCAGATGAGCTAGCGAAGCTCACAAGGAGGCAAT